ATTTTAATATTTTTTGATAAAAAAATTTTTATACACAGTGATATTAAAAAAAAAAAATATATATATATATATATATATATATATTAAAATTAAATGTAGAAATAAAAATTAAAAAGATAAATTGAAAAAAGAAAAGAAATTGAGAAAAATTCCTAAAAACACTCATCAAAAAATGCTTCCATAAAAACACTCCCATTCAAGATAACAAGTCTAATTTATGTAGAGATAATTTTAGATTTATGGTAAATAAGTATGATACAAAATTATTTTTAATTATAGGCAATTTATTTTAAAAATATTAAAATTTAAATTGGAAATGAATATGAAAAAAATATTGATATACATAAGAGGTTAAAAAAGTCTTAAAAACTCCCATCAACAAATTTTTTTTAAAATCTCCCTTTGAAGAAAAAGTCCTAAAAGCACTCTTTGAAGTAAAGCTCCTAGAGATGCTCTCATGCAATATAGTTATTCTCATTTTATATATAGCATGATTTATAAAAAAAAAATTAATTCCTTTTATTGTAACATGATATCAAGAATTAAAAAGGGTCATTGGAAATAGAATCTAAATTAATTGAAAAATATAATAGAGATGTTATCATTAAATAGGATGAAGTTAGTTAAAAATTGTTTATTTTTCAGTCCGAAAGAAGTATATATTATCAGGAGTGTTGTAGAAGATAATTTATTTTGAAATCAAAATCTGATCAATCTATAAAATCTGATCAATCTATCTGGCTATACATAAAAATCAAACTGAGTTCAGTAACTGATGTTAGCATTTCATCTATGATTTCAAGATATTGAACACCAAGTTGATTCAGATTAAACTTAAGTTCAATCAATGTCATTAGTAACTCTAAACTCTAGTAAGTTCTAATTCCCCTTTATTATTTCAAAATAGACGCATTAAAGACTATCCCAGTCAACATGAAACTACTATTTGTAACCTAACTTTTCTCTATTTAGCAAATTAATGGCTTTTAACCTTACATGCTCTTGAAAAATATATAAAATTACTAATGCAACCATCATATAATTAACAGGTTCTAATAAAACTATAATATGTTAAAAATTTAAGTAAAAATAAACAAACTTCAGCACTCATTTATGAAAATCATTTTTGTGTTTTACTTATCCATATGAATCATGATTTGGATAACATAACTTGGATAACATAACCAAATTTAATATAATTTTCATAAAATTGAAATGACTAATAATGAAAATATATAAAATTAAAAAAAAAATGAATTACAGAATCGCATACTGCACCAGGATGATACATAGTATTCCCATAAACGTACAAGGTATGTATTATGCAGTGAAACAAAATATATTATCAATATTATTCCAATAATTCTAAGTCGTACACTAAAAGTAAAAGAATACTATCCCACCCCCCTCACTAGTCACTACCAAAACTCTTCTTCACACGTATTATGACTAGAGGACACAATTTAATTGAAATACAATGAGGAGGTTAACCATGCAAATTAGGGACTCGATTGAAAGATTCTCTAAACAGAATAAATTTAAAAAACAAAGTTTGAAGTTAATTTACCATTACCTGAACTACAGCTTCTCCTAGTCTTTTGTGTGTTGAAGATCCAGACTTTCTATTCCTAGAACCAGATTTCACACGGCCATCACGTGATTTAGTGGGTGAATTATTTATATTTTCAGCTTTATTCTGATGGGCATTCCTCTTAGGAACATGCACAGAATTATTTGGAGCATTTCCGTTTGGTGACAGTGGAGTCACATTGCTGGTGAGTTTCTTTTTTCTACTTGGAGTAGCAGTGTCAGTCCAATCATCATCATCACTAGTATCACTGTGGTACGTCTCCTACAAAAAAAAACATACCTGCCTAAAATATTGGAAGAGGGATACAAAAGATTGGGATAATAAATAATGTTGACTCTACACACTTGCTGGTGTATGCATACAATACACACATTATGTATCATATGTCAAGTTATGCAATGTAAAACCTACTTCAAATGAGAAGGCAGACCACACATGTAGAATTATATTGCACTATTTTAAACCTTAATCCATTAAAATAAACTTACATCATACAGCTTTTTGTAGTCCAACCTTTCCACGTGTCTTTTTCCAGAAACAAGAGAGGAACCCTCTTGGCCAGAATCTGGCTGTAATAAAGATGACAGTTCATCAGCCATAGGTAGCTTCTTACCAACTTTACCCTTTTGTTTGCTAGAACTTTTCAAGTACTTAACATCATCCAATGATGCAGATATGTCTCCATCCTGTCCAGGGGACGTGTTATCGTCAATTGCAGCAGCAAGATCCTCAGAGTCAGATGTGAAATCAGAGCTTGAACTTTCTTCATTGACTTTACAGTCGACATCTGGGGCTTCGGGATCATAATCACCATCATCAGAATCTTCAGATGGAAGGCCCAAGTATTGATCCTCATGTGAACCCTCCAGTTTCTCAGAAGCAGAAGCATACTCAGATTCATCAGAACTTGACTCATTTCCTTCAACATTCACATCCTCTGGACCATTAGGATTATAATCATCATCATCAGAATCATCAGATGGAAGTCCCAAGTTGTTGTCCATATTATTTCCAGCAGCTTCAGGAAAGACCCTCTAAACAAGGATCAAAACATAATCAGGAGAGGAAGATCCAAAACATTAATGATTGACAAAGATTAAAATTGCCACTGACCTCCCAGGGGTCACTAATACAGAGATTAGTTCCAAAGGAGTCATTGACAAGGTCCATGCAGTCGTCTTTGCAATCACATCCAGGGCATAACCAACCCTCATCATCAGGCGGAACTGTAAGCCACAAAGTAAACACATAAATGATAAATAACTGGAAGAACAAAGTGACCAATCAATTAGGTGGAGCAGGCATTACTGTCTTCAGTTAACAATGGAGGATCCAAACAGAGCTGGTGAAATCCACGGTCACAAACACCGTCACAGAGAATTATATCATTATTAGTGCTCAACTCTTTGGACTGACACTTTGCACAGAATATCTACGCCATAAAAATTAAAGTAAGCATTCACATCTCCAAAATATTAGAAAATGAATACAAAATTCAGGAATTAAATATAGAGGATTAACCTACATCTTCACTGTCAATCTCTCCCTCAGAATCAAACAAAGATTCTGGAAGCTTTCCCTCAGCACACAATGAATCCAAATTTCGAAATAGATCCCTAATTTTTAATTTGCGTCGAAGAATTTCAGACTTAGCCCGCTGAAGCTCCTTCTCAGGCTTTAACTTTTCCATACTGCAAAGTTATATCGATCAAACAAATAGATACAAATTATCCAACTCATTAACAAATAAAAATGAATACAAGGTCAAGCATTAGAAGGTTCATAAGTCCATCATAAGACTTTTGTAGGAGGGCAACTACCAATTATACTCAGATTCACAATAAAACAAGAGCAAACAAACTCCTAGCAAAGGTTAGAACAAAAATTACAGAATGATCTAATATAATCTTATTATAGCTCTACAATTACAGATAGGATAGAAATATACAATCATGATAAAAAATACCAAAAAAGAGGACATAGAATTACAAAGGCTTAAATGCAGCATAAGAAAAGCATATGATAAAAATACCGAAGTGTATTTGTATGTAAATATAAATTTCCACAATATCAGAGTAAATAGATTTTGTTCAAAATAAATAAAGATGCAGCACATAGAGGATAAGCTCGGAACAACTGATTTACTTAGCTCAGTTGCTTAGTCCTGCATGAGGATTGTGATAACACGTATTTTATTTTAAACCACTTTGATTAGTAATAGAAAAGTAAGAAGAAAAAAAACCTAAAGGACCCATTGAATGAATCCTGAAGCACATGAAGCATTAAGATAAAGTTCAAATCATAGAAGGTTGAATATCGTGATAAACATTAGTAATTGTGTTTTTACATAATTAAAATAAAACTCAAATGGTTTACTTTTGTCAATCTCATCAAACCCATGCATGGATTGTATTTTAAAAACAAGATCTCAAAAAGTATCTGGTGGAGGTGAAATATTGTAAATCAAAGGATTGTAAGACAGATCATATGATTCTACCAAAAGACACAAAACGATACACAGATATACATATGTAAAATTGCATAGATAGGGAAGAAAGAGGCAGCAGTTGCAGCATCACTTGTTAACATCTTTTGTACAGAAAAACAGAGGCAAACAGAGAAAGAACAGAGGAAGAAGGCACAGTACAATGTTGATGGAAGAAAACTACAACAAGCAAAGAATCAAAAAAGAACCACAGCAGCCCAACCAGAAGAGAGGAGACATCACATAACAATGCTGAAGGTAAGAGCCGGAGAATGAGAGGGGGATTCAACCCAGAACTGGTCTATAGGATCAGCACTGCATAGCATCCCTCAAACTAAGAAAGATTGTGACCTTGCTCGTTTCCGATCATATGTCCAATTCAGCACACAATTACAATCTTAATTGCAATCTTGACAAGTCAATGCACCCTTTAGGTGGAAATTCAAGTACAGGGAAAGTAAAATATTTATAAAATTATTCTTCTAATATTTATTTTTGGAAATAATTTAATGGAGAGGATTTAATGATCAAAATAACATATGATATAACGTCTGAAAACAATGTCAAAGTCAAATCCAAATATCTAAGATCCCATTGATTTGTTCTATCCAAATGCAACAGAAGGAGTTCAAGTCTACGTTCAGAACACAATAGCATAGTAGCATATTGTTTCAGAACTCGTAACATAAAAAGACTCCAACACTACAGTTAAAAAACTACAAACATTCTACCCGTAAAAGTATGGGCGCATAGCCTCTGAAGCACTAATGGCCAAGAATATTCCAGATGTAGTTCCATTTCAGTTTCCCAGCAATTTACCAATAGAGATGATATTAATAAATATAAGCTATAAGATCTAACGTAGATCAGGATGCAAATCCAAATATAGATTACAAGTCAAACAAAGCACAAGGTAATGATACAATCTACTCACCTGTATCCTTTCCAGCCCTCACCAGAATAAGCATCAATCAAGCTTTTCTCATAACTTATTCGGTTTAATAAATATCTTAAGTGAGATCTGATTCTAGAATATTGATCAGTAATTCCCTCCTCTCGTTTCTTTTTCTTCTTCCTCCCACTTTTCTTCTTCACTCCATCATTATTACCATCGACCAAATTACTACTTGGTTCGGGTTCTTTAGGTTTTTCTTTTGTTCTTGAACGCAAAGCTCTGTCACTTGACCGTAGCATATACTTCTTCAATAATTTAGAGTTCTTTTTACCCCTGCGCCTCAATTGCAAATGAGTTGGACTAATTGACATTCTTTCTGAGCAATTGGAACTAATATTGTTCACAACATCTCCAGAAGGGGGATCCAACAATTCATTCGCAGAACTCGCATTCAATTGAGCCGCACTGGATTGCATTTGGCCATCATCAGCAGAGGTAGGAACGGATTCTAAGGGTTCACTTAGAACATTTTCAGACAATGGTTGGCATTTGTTTTCAGGCTGGTCATTAGATAAAGGAACAGAGGCTTGTTCACCAGTACTTTGTTGAAGGCTTGAGCCTTCTACAGTCTGACAAGTCTTTTCCAAATCATGTTGCGGTGGGGCGGCCAGCAGAATAACAGAATTCTCCGCCACATTGGCAGAAACTTGATTTGATTTTTCGTCAATAACTGAACTGGCCAACACAGTATCAATCTCCTTTTGTTCTCTGCCTAAACATTCAGAGCCTATCAGTGTTTTTTCAGAAAATTCACATTGTTCAGTTCCCATCCGCTCCGCGGTACCGTCGCTATGGCTGGTCAATTCTCTAGTTGGACTAGTCATAGGTCTTAAGAAACACGCACCACCGCAGCATCCACCACTATAGTTTCAATGTGAGCCTAGTAACTACAAAGAAACAAAAAAAATAAAAATAAAAAAATAATCCTTGAGCTTTTCCACGACATATATGAACACTTAACATCAATATTTAAAAAAGCAATACACTCAAGTAAAAGCACAGCCAAAATATTCACTGATACAACAGACATACACCAATCAGACAATTGATTATCGAATTCAACTACAACAACATCGAACAGCGTAACAATAACAAGCAAAAAACATTGGCACGTTTATATTGCTAAGTGTGAAGTCAGTTACATCAGCGAATCTTATTTCCAAGTTGTGAACGAACAGCATAGTAATGTCAGGAAATATTCGAGCATTTAGCTCCAGAAACAAAGCCCTCGTTCGCCTGAGACGGTAAATACGAAGTGGCATGAAAGAGGAACTTACGTTGTGGGTGTGAGTCGGCAGCGAATGGGAAAAGCAGTGCGAGGAAGAAGAAGGGTTTGATCTGAAATGGGTTGGGGATTGGGGTGCGAAGAGGGTGAGGGAGAGAGAAAGAGTTGAGTTTCGTGAGAGTTCCCTTTTCTCAATCTCAGCGCCAAAGCGAGAAAAAAGCGGTGCTTCGTTTATACTCCATACTCCTCTAAATCTGGGCCACCGTTCGAACCACACACCATAGGGCCTGCGTCTGTTGGACCTTCCAACCTTTCCTGTCATTCTGTCCAATGGGCTTCTTTTGTGATAAATGGCCCAGTATGCGCTTCTGGGATTCTAAGACCTTGTCAGTGTCACTCTGAAATTTTATGAGCCAACATTTACAGAGTTAAAAGATGTGAGTATTAAATAAAATGGTTTTTCAAAATTATAAACTCTCAATTAAAATAAAATATCAGAACATTTACGAAAAATTAATAAAATTGTGGAGATATATGTATTTATTAATTGATCCTGCTGTATGGAGATTGACTTGTCCCCAAAGAAGGAAAATCTTGGTCTCGAAAATTTACAAAGAAGCCCAAAAGGTGACTTAAATTGAAGAAGTAATAAACATGGTAAAGAATCGTGAATTAAAAGTACTACTCCCAACATTTTCAACCAATTCATTTATAATTTATCCAATAATGTTAGCATTCCAAACATCCTCCGTATATTTTATTTATTTCACCGCTGGACACATATTCAATCATATTGTATTAGAAACTTATTTTAATTGGATTGAATTTCTTCCAAATTTTTTTCAGTCTCTTTATATTCGGTTTAATCATATTGTATTAGAAACATATTTTAATTCGATTGAATTTGTTCCATTTTTTTTAGTCTTTTTATATTCCGTTTGAATTGTATTGATTTATTAGATCTATTTGTAAAATTTAAAAAAAAAATCATCTAAACAACTTGTAAAATATATTTTTGTATCATTAATCGATAAAATATTCAATATAAACATAGTTATATAACTGATACTTAACTTTCATGAATAAGAAACATTCAAAATAGGATAAATAAAAAATTTTGAATTTTACTTTTGTCCTTTTTATGAATATTTTTGTCCTTGGTATTAAATGAGATGGGCAATTTCAAAAAAAAAATGTTTAATAGATCACTTATCACTTTTCATCTAAATTTGATAACTCAAAATAAATTTAATAAATTAATAATAATAATAATAATAATAAAATTAACCGGATGGATTGATTCTTAGAAATCAAAATATAACATCTGATCCAAATTAATTGGATTTTCATTATTTTAAATCCAAACAGATCCGATAATTCGAATCAATTTAATTTTTTTAAGTTTAAATTAGATTGAATTTATTATATCTTCAAGATCTTTTAATTGAATTGGATCGATGACCACCTTAATTTAAACTATGAATTATGACTTTCTCGAGTTCAAAAAATATGTACTCCTGGAATATGTATAGTGTTCCTTTTTAATTACACATATAAGTTGTTTTAAAACGTGTAAAAACTAACATTTATAGTAAGGTATTTTGCTAGTTATTTATATATAGAGACGAAAGATTCACTTATTTAAGTTTTTTTAAACTTATTTCACACAATGATTCATGTTTCACATTAAATCTTAATGATCTAACTATTGAATTAAAAAATTTTAATTTATAGATCAAAATTGTAAAATTTTAAAAAAAAATTTAAATCATTTGATAATATAATTCATTAATTCAAATTAATATGTAATCGTAAAAGTATTTATACGTTAATTTAAATTAATGAAATAGAGTATTAATACTTTGAAGAAAAATCTAAACTAGTTCATTAGGAAATATGGTGTTAATAAACTGGATGTTTCTGAAGTCTCGAGATGGTATTGAATGGGAAGTATATTGTCTCTTTTATTATTTGTAGACCATAATTTTTTTATTCTTTTGTTCCACGAAACAACATGTGCAACTAGTATCTTCAATCTTTGAAGACTTATGTATTGCATCAAGTTTGAAAGTAAATTGTAACAAGTCTAAATTCATGGTGTCTAAGGAGGTGGAAAGCCTAAGATATAAAGGTTTGAACAAATTCTAATTATGCACCATAATTGTTGCATGGGGAAGTATTTGGGCATGCCAATGATTCGAGAAAAGGACTAAGTTGCGAAATTTTCAACATGTCGTTTATCGTGTAAATGGGAGATTAGCAGCCTAAAAAGGAAGGTTATTGAATAAAGGTGAAAAATTATGTCTCATCAAGTCCATATTAATCTCGATTCCTATTTGTGGTATGCAATGTCCATGGTTCTCATATTGTATATGCAACATTATTAACAAAACATAATGATCAATGTTGTGGGCAAAAGATTGCAGCTCCCGATTTGGGTCTTTAGAGGGTTGGTCCATGGTCACTCAACCACTTGCGTGTGGTGGGTTAAACACACAAGAATCACAACTAGTGAACATAACCCTTTTTGGTAAGTTGACATAGGAGCTATTGAGTTCACCACATAAGCCTTGGGTGCAAGTCTTGCGGGTTAAATATTTGAGAGGTCACTCGATGTTGGCTAAGGTAGAACAACGTGGGCAATCCTATGTCTGACAAGCATTCTTAAAGCATTACCATTTTTAGCGATATAGCTTCACTCCTTGTCTTGGTTAGAGAAGTTCATCTTTTTGGTATGAAGATTGGTTGGGAGTGGGACCGCTATGTCAGCTGGTTCTCTATGTACACATTAGTGATTATGAAATCAAAGTTGTTGAATGTTGGCATGAGGGTTCTTGAAACTTGAACAATTTGTACACATTACTTCCTTAGGAGGTGGCTAATTGCATTTTACAGGTGTGTATATCTATGAATCCAATAGGGATTGACACGTTTAATTGGATGGGTGATCCATCGTGTAGCTATACTATAACAATGGGATTCCAATTATTATGCACGAAGGGATAGGCTGCGGGAAATTCATATTAGAAATGTCTTTAGAAATTGTCTATATCGGAGAAAATAAAGCTTCTTCTTTGGTAAGGTATGCATAATGCCCTTCCGATTAATGAGGTTCAATTGTAGAGTAATTTAACTTCGAGTGAAGCTTGCATGAGATGTTCACATGGGATGAAATCTATACTACATGTTGTGTATGATTGTCCTCATTCGAGATAATTAGATGCAGTTAAGGAATATTTCATCCTCTCTTTTTTGTTGAGTTGTCTATTGTGGCTCAAGAACTTGGTTAATCATTCAGATGCAGCGAGATTGGCAATTGGGACATGGTGGATTTAGCATTTTCGAAACCATATGGTCTTTGAGACAGATTGGCCATGGATTGTGAACTATGTTTTGAGATAGATAACATTAGATATATCACATAATACACTCTACTTGAGGTCTAAGTCTCTTTAACAATAACATGACAAATGGAGCCCACCAGATTATCCCTTTGTCAAGTTGAATGTTGATGGAAGTTGGCTAGAAAATTCTCGAGTGATGGAGATTGTTGGAATGGTGAAGGATGTTGTTGGTAGATGGAAAAGGGGATTTGCAAACTCGTTTAAAAGATAAGACCCCTTACATGTAAAACTTCTTATTTTGGAAGTGGGGTCGCATTTATGTTGTGAGTCAGATTGTGTTTCTATTATCTCCATCATTTGTGAGTATTCACAATATGACTTTTATGGACATAAACATGTAGATATTATTGTCAATATTAAAAAGTTGTTGACTTGTAATTGACAGATGTATTGCAATAGTATTTCTAGAGAGAGCAATATTGTTGCTTATGAGTTAGCCGGATAAGAAGTCAAGTTTAGTTTGATGTTTGTTAAATGAAGGAGTCCTCCAAATTTCATTTTATATGAAGTTGGTTTAGATTTCATATAGTTCTCTTTATCTGTTTCTATTCATTAATATACTAAAAAAAAAAAGAGCTTAACAAGTGACTATATCAATATTGTAACCTGACAACTATGGTGATATAGTGTTGATGGTAAGTAGGCAATAATCATAGTGACAATAACAAAAATTTCATAAAAGAATCATTTATAATTAAATTTTAATTTCAATGTTAATTATCTTTCAGGAAAAAAGTTATAAAATATATGGATTATTTTACACTATAACCCTTTTTTTTTATTTATATAAACGGGATAGGAGGAGGCAGTATTATTTAACATTTTATTCTTCATAATAAGTGAACTAATACAATAATTAAGGTTGAAATTTGGGACAACCTCCGTTGTTATTAAATAAGGTTTGAATTGCTTACTAGTCATTAGGGATGAGAATAAGTTAGGTTTTAAACAGAAGTCTATGGCCTGACCTATTTAAAATCTAGCCTATTCTGACCTGTTTAATAAAAAAAATCAAATTTAGACTTTTAAAAAAATCTATTTATATAAAAAGATCAGGCTTAAACTTATAGAAAAACCTATTAGACATGACAGGTTAGCTTATTCATTTATAATATATATATATATATATCATTAAAAATATAAATAAATAAATTTATAAAATAGAAAAATTTATCGATATTTAAATTTTTTTAATACAATTATTATTTCTTCATTATAAGTTTATAAGATTAACCTGCATGAATGTACATCAACATATATATTACGCATGAATTATCCTTTCAAGAGAAAATGATTCAATTTTTTTTCTTCTGTATTTCTTTTAAAATTTAAATTTTAATAATATTGAGTAAATTATATTTTAAAAACAATTTATTAGTTTTTAAAAATTAAGCTTATTAGTCTAATTAACATTAATAATTTAAATAATTTTTTAAAATAGACTAATAAGTCAGGACAAACTTTAAAAAGATCAAGTCAGACTTATAAAAAAGCCTATAATAATAATAAGTTTGACTTAAGTTTTAATTTTGTAGAACATATTTAACCTTTATATTTAAAGAACATGTCCAACTTATATATATTCAAAGTCTAATCTCACCTATTCTTATCCTTACCCGTAACTAAGTTTGGTTGAACTAGATTTTAATAATCTATTTTTTTCAACAACATGAAAACCATCTGAGTTGAATGTGTGTATCAAGAAAGTTGAAAAAATAATATTATTTTAATAATTGATTACATTTATAATCGATTATATTAAAATAAATTTGTTAAAAAATAACTTTGTAATATTTAATTTCATTTGAATATATTGAAAAGTATTTTGTAACTAGTAGTCTCATGGAGAAAAAATTGTTAAAAAATAATCATAATATTCAAATTTCTAACTTGATAAAAATAACTTAAATTTCACAAAATAAATCTGTTAACAAATTTAACATGTCCTAAATATTTAAAAAAAATCAAAATAAAAGCTGAAATATGAAATTATAATTTTTTCAATGTTATTTTAATTTCTATAGTTTTAGCAACTTTACTTTTTAATCTTTATAATTAAAATGTTATACTTTAGGTACCTTTGTACATATTAGAAAAAGACTAACAATACACTCTCAAACATGTTTTTTTAAATATATTTTCTCAAATTAGTTGAAATTTATTATAAAATATAAAATTTGATAAGTCTCATATCTTATTTAATAATCATATCTTTTAAGTTTGTAATTTTTAATAAATTATAATTAATAAAAATGTGTGTATATATATATATTACTAGTAATTTTCTGCATATTATTTTTATTGTTTTTTTATTTTTGCGTCATCTATTTTAAGAAGAATTAAAATCTAAAGTTTATGAAATGAGAGGAACTAGTTTGTATATAAACACAACATTAAGAAATTTTGATAAGTACAAATTTATCTATTTGAATACGAATGGTCACTGGAAGTGGAACCAAACTTTGGTTAAGGCACGTATTTGTTTAGGTGTAGTGAGACATACATGATACATGGGAGGTGTGATGTATGTAATAATGAAATATTGAATTATATATAAAATAAAATATAAGTAATAATGAAAGAAGGAAAAGGAGAGAGATAGGCAAGATAGAATAAAATCATGTGATCCACCGGTTCCTCTACCCTAAACTATCCCTGCTACATACCTGTTGTAAAAAAGGTGTTTTAGTGCCCTTCCACAATTGTACGCTGCTGTACGTTGGCAACAACATCTCCGAACACGAGCCATCAGCCATAGCCAGCACCTTCCACTGCCCTCAAAACCACGTAAGTTCTCTATTACACCCACAACGGAGCCAGAAACCACAACACCATCAACAAGCTCAACGTACATCTTCAAAGCCACGTACCCACCATAACTGAACCCAACCACCACGCACTTCTCCACTCCCTGCTTCCCAAACCCCGCCGCCACACACTCCGCTCCAAACCGTAACAAATTGTTTTTCCTACTCTTTTTTTTTACTGTTTATTATTTCTTTTCTAATATTAAAGCAGCAAATTATTGTCTACTTATTACTATTACTTATACAGGTTTTGGAAGATTTAATTTAATCTTGTATAATTATTCTACTTTTCTTTTAATCGTACTTCAGTTTTACTTTCATATTTCTCAACACAAATATATATGATCTTAATAATGAGCTAGCTTTTCAATTAAGTTTTTATTTTTACGTTCATAGTGTTACTATTTTAGTAATCATTTTTTTTTTTTAATATTAGCAATCAGGTTTTTTCTTGATATATTCTCATACATTTTTTTTCCTTGTAACTTAATATGTTTGTTTTAGTTTGTTTTTTAATGTTAACTTGTTTATTTAATTGCATATATTTGGTGTTTATTTCTAATTCCCTTTTCGTAATTATTTTTCAGAGGTCCCCTTTCGCATTAGCATTTATCAATTGTTGATTTGAGGTAAGATCAACATTTCTTACTTTTGAGATTCATATTGAATTTATTATAGCAATATATTAAGAACATTTCCTTCACCGTAGAAAAACCTATATAAATTTAGAATTGTTATATTTCTGCATTTTGATTACGCTTTTTTATGATGTCTGTAATGTGTTTAATATATGTTGCAAGCTTTAGAATTATTATATTTCTGCACTTTGATTACGCTCTTTGTATAATGTCTATAATGTGTTTAATATATGTTGCAAGCTTTTAGCAGTTGGCCGCGTATGTAACATGTCTAACATGTGAATAATATATACTAGAAAAAATTCCTGAACAAACATGCAAGTCTATTAATATAGCATTTCTGTGTGAATTTCTCTCATGAACTATTGAATTCATACATTATAACCTGAAGTCATACGCAATTCACAACCCTTTAAAACATAAAGCTTTAATTTGATTTAATTTCTAATTTTTTTTAAGAAAAAAAATATGTTTCAACAATAATAGGTAGTTCAAAAGAGACTAATATTATTTTTAATAATTAAAGTGTCAATTATTTCTAGAGAGTAATTTAATATGAGTATTATTTTTAAAGCTTTTATTAATCGAATATTAAAGTTGACATATCTAAACTTCTCTTAATTCCTAGTAAATCTATGTGATAAAAAAAAACCAAATTATCATGTTCTCTTAATATTTGAAGAAAATTAAACATGAAATAAAAGCTTCAAAGGATTTTTTTTTATCACTAGAGCATATTTTTCATAAAATAAAATATTTTATCAATTACAATACAAATATGAGTTTTATGTAATTTTTTTTAATTTTATAACTCCTCGGTCCATTAAAAAAATTAATTTTAAATTATCTATAACATAATAAGTATTTGAAAAATTAGATAATAACATCTATGTGTCTTGAACATGAAATTATAAAAAGTTGAATGTTTACGAAATGACTCCCGTTCTTATATTACCCAAGATAAAACAACCCAAATCATATTCTTTTCTATTATTAATTTTTGTTTTGATTTTTTAATAAAATTCATTTTTAAAGTTAAATTAAAAATCAAAATGTTTTTACAACATCTCAAACAGTTGCCCTTTTTCATTATGGTATTAAAGCATTTAACTACATAAAAACTAAAATTTATTTTATACAATTTATATTTCCAGTCAAATTAAAATTCAAAAAAAATCTCCAAATTATACGAATAGGCAAAAAAAGAAAGTATTTAGACAAATAAATAAGTGATAAGATATTTTTTTTATTATGAATAAACGAATTAATCTGATTAATAAATTACTTTTTATTTAAATAAAATACGAAGGATGAAGCGTCTTTATCTAACTAGTTATGTATAAACAGTATTTTCAATTAAGGTTTCAATAACTGATCGAAAATGTCGACTATTTGAAATATTCTTCTGCTGTAGAATTGTAATTTGCAGACAATTTTGGTTTGAATATTTTGTGTTATTTATCAAAGCACGTACGCCTAGTGCTCCAATTAAAAAGTTTGGAGCAGCGATCGACAAATTAAAATGGTGAAAATGTCGTAACAGTAATAACAAGCTGAGTCAGAGGCATGCAACGGAATTGTGTTTGCCTCTTCCTCGCATGTACAGTGGCCAGTACTGATTGTCTGGCTGTACCTCCCTGACATAAAGATTTTTGTTTTCTTATTTCTTGGAAGTGGCTTGTGCTTTCTTTGCTTTTGGCATTGGTAGATAAAAATAAAACTAAACAAGCACAAAGCGAGTAACTGTGTAAGCTACATTATCTGATTTGTAATGTGATGTGGGTTGTTTTTTTTTTTTTTTTTTTTTTTCCCCCTTTT